GCAATCAGATGCTATGCCGTAATTAATTCTACCATATGGTAGAATGCCGTAATTCAGTAATTCTACCACCAACTATAAGTGAAAGGTCTTCGCTCGTTAATTGTCTTGCTCACGTGACTTCGTAGAAGTTTGCTGTCCGGTTGATTCTCGACGTGCAGAGGACTTCCGTGGTTGTTGTTTTCAAAATTTCTCAACGTACCGTGGACAGCTGTGGTCAATGTGTTCCGGTTTGAGATCCAAGAGGAAGAATCAAGCCGTGGTTTTCATGTGTTTGATACAGTAAATAGAAAATAGAATCGTTATTGTGTACTATTTGGTTCCGGCTATAAATAAAAGAGTCACCAAAATCCCACTCGTCAAATATAACTCCCTCTTTCGACTAAACCGATCGTAGGTTACACGACGCTCCGGATTGTGAAGTGACCGACTCGCCTTTTATGGTGTCAATTAAGTCGGGTTAATTTTTAATTGTACTAATACGTGTTATTTCAATTAATAAAATCAATGTTAGGTCATAATTTAATTATATGAAATTAACACGACACGTCGTGATCATTGTTATGTGCATGTAAAAATAATTATAGATAAAATATTTTTACAGGGCAATCTCCCAAGATTCCGAGTCAGAATTCATATGATCTGGGACGGCATTAAGCAATATTAGTCGAACAAGTCTAGCAAAATTACCAGCTGAAAATTTTACTTAATGAATGAATACGTTAGTGATCTTGTGTAAAATTGATCAATTTTCCAGTGTATTTATATACTGGGATCTTCTTATCCAGTATATAGTCCTATAAAAGGTAAAACTGGTTAGAAACTAGTCCGAAGATATTTTACACGAGCATAATGTTTTAATGATATTCTATACCCTGGTGCATGGAAATACATGGTCCGAGGATTGGGGTTTATGTTTGCTACGGAATCAATAGGTTCCTGGATGATCTATTAGTTAAACACCATCTTTAACTGCTTAGTTCTACTTAATTCCATTCTCTTTTACTATAGCACTATTAGTTTTATTATAGTACACAATTCTTTATTCTTCTAGTGTCTCAACTAATTTTTGATCACATGTTATGGACCATGATTCAAGGTAATATTTACGTATGTATACGACGTTAGTAAGCTTATTTTTTTAATGATGTAATTAATGTTCGTACGTATGTATAATCATATGATGATAAGAGATCGATTCTTAAATAAATAAGGGTTTGGAGCATTAATGGATAATAAAATATTCATCCTTTTAAGGTTTTTAAAATGCCAAAAAGGTGCTTGAACGTTAATACTAAGAAGGCAACTCAGAAAATTCCATCAAATCAAGGTACAACAGAACGAATTTTTCATTAAAATTTTGATTTTAAGGGTATATACTAATAAATAAATTTTATATTTAGGTGAATCTCAAACCATAGGTATTGAACTTAGATCAAAACGTATTGCCAACAGAGAAAGGTAAATTTAATGAGCAATTACAAATAAAATAAATAACAAACTAATTCGATAAAAAAATTATTTCAAGTGCTACTCCATTAAGCACTACTCCAATTCTTCCTAATCAGAAAGTTAGCATTATAACTCATCCTAACCAACAAGTTGACAACACTCCTAAAACTTTAATTTCAAAACAACAAGTTGGCAGTACTTCTGAATCTAGCAGCCCTTTAATTTCTCCCAACTGTCAAGTTGGTGATGCTTTTGAAGCTAGCAGAACTTTAATTTCTCCCAACCATCAAGTTGGCTCTCCCAACCATCAAATTAGTGACACTTCTGAACCTTTAATCCCTCCTAGCAACACTTTTGAATCTTTAATTCCTCCCAACCAACAAGTTGGCAATACCTCTTCCGAAACTAGTAGCACTTTAATTCCTCCCAACCAACAAGTTGGAAATACCTCTTCTGAAACCAGTAGCACTTCAGATAAATTACAATTACAATACACCAATTGTATTTCTTTATCACCAAACAATGAATTTGAATCTACAGATATTAAATTGAATTCTGCGCATAAAGTGTGATCTTCAGGCTTGACAAATATATTTTTAGATTATGATGAATATAATTCTGAAATGAAGCAACCATTTACTTCAGGTAAAGATAATTATTTGATTTTTATTTTATTTTTTGCAATCACTAATTTTGGTTTTCTTTTTTAATATATTCCAAGACACAACAGTATTTGAGATAGCAGTATTCATTACAAATCATCCAAAAATTCTTTCTATAGCTAATACAATATATTAAACAAAAAAAAAGAGTCAACTATTTATATCACAAGAATTATTGCTTAAAGAGTTATCAATATCATTGCTAAATCAAGAAGCATCAATTGAGGAATTGACTTTAGAGAGAGATATATATATATAATCATAACTAGATTTTTTTTATATGTAATATATATAAAAAAATTATGAGTATTATATTCAAGATTTATTACTTTAAATGAGATCTTGTAGCTCAACTTCTCAACATATATATTTACTTTTTCTCAATTTGACAGACTGTTTTATCTCTATTTAGGAAAGGCTTAGAGTTTGGCTTAGAGAATTAAAGTGTTTATTTCTTTGAACCCAGAACCTATCGCAAACAATATTTGACCAGTTGGTAGCTACAACATTACCAATGTGTAAGCTTGTAGATAATAATTTCCAACAGCTTCTTCACAAGCTCAAGATATCATTTAGTAAATTTTGGCATAGTTTTAATAAAGATCTCAATAAACTTTCTCAAAAGTATATTAAAAACTCTAGGTAACTTATTTTTATTATATACAATAATTTTAACTATATATATTAATATTCACTTGTAGTAATTCTGATAAGGATGTTCTAAACGAAAGCAAATTAAATAGATATGTTGATCTTCTTTATACCTGAGAGTCAGAATTAACAGAAATGATTTGTAATATATTAAAAAGATTTGTTTAAAGGGCCTTTAGACAATACATTATACACACTTATAAAGAAATTTAACAAGAATTTAGTTAATATAATAAGTTTTAAAAAACATCAAAAAGCTGAATCCTATCATATCATCATTTGACATTTTAACACATGAAAAGTCTGATATATTAAGAACATCTTCTGTATAATTGTAGGTCAAGTATATATTTCATTATGCACAGAAGTTGGGTATAATTATATGCATATAAATCTTCAATAAAGCATGCATATTAATTAATTATAAACATATTGTTCTTATAATTCAGATAGTTTAATTTATGTAATATAATCTTAATACTATTTAAATATATAAATTTTATTGCTGTAAATTTTTTGTATATATTGGTTATATACATTTATATATTATTTTAATATAGAACAGAGAATATTTATTATTCAAGTATTTGAAATAAGAATTCTTCATTATCATCATTTTTTATTTCATTCAATTAAAATAGACAATTTCTAGTTTATAAATTCTTGAATTTATATTATACCTA